GTCATCTCATCAAGTCATCATGTTCTGATTGAACTCACTTGATGAGATGACTGGAGTCCGATGTGCTATTGCTTGGTAGGAAAGAAAACCTGCAGCCACACGGTCCTTTCTGGAACCACTTTGACACCCCTGATCTAAATGATCTAGCTGACCAGTTAGAATAGAAATTACAGTGGTGGTAAAATGAGGTAAATATACTAAGATTGTATTTGGGAACATTATATTAAAGATGACTTCAACTCCCTGACAAGTTCTAGTTGGTCAGTTTAACATTTAACTTGATCAGCTTTAGGCAAAACCATTTAAGATGTATGGAAGATTTATACTAATTCCACAGTTTAGGTGTATCTAACATTAAGAATTAGTACAAAATGTTTCCCACTTTTTTTTATACATTTTGGATTTTTACTTGCCTGCATCCACAGTGGTTAAAGAATAATTATAAAACACAAAAATTGTATTGCAAACAGCCTCTATAGATTTATTGATGACTTTGCTGACCCCTGGTCTAGACAGCCTATGCCAAAGTACATCTAAAGGTCATGGATCGTCACCCAGATGAAGTCTTATCTCTACTCTTACTGGTTAATGGTTATCTTTTCTTAGGGGACAGGCTTCTGCTTATATACTAGGCTTTTGAGCATTTTAGAAGTCTCTTGGTTTTACATTTTCAGCCATTAAAACCAATCGCAGGCCTTAGTCATAAAGGGATTTCCTAAGATTTGTATAGCAGCATCTCTTTAAAAAGCCTCTATTGGACAATGGCTTACTGATATGATTTTTGCTTATAGATCTATATCCCCCTTATAGTAGATTGGCTGCTATTTCCAAACCCCCTAAATCTGCACCTGATTTATGTATTTCATTTTTAACTGTTTTTCCTAGTTAGAATGATTTACTTGATTTTCATTAAATATCTGTTACTGCAATTTAAATACAAATTAATCTATTGAAAGATTTCTATGTCAGGCGTTCACCATGCTTGACTGAATTGGTCAATATATAATAAAAAAAAATCTAAGTTACTATTAAGTAATTAAATGGCTTGCCATAACCCTTCTCGTTTCACCTTTGACATTTGCACACTGACCCCGCTGCACTGCTGTGGCCTTCAGGATTAAAAGGTTTCTACTGACTCCAGCTTGATTCACATTTGCCTATTGAAGAAACAAAAATCAAAGCATTTAGAAAGAGATTAGGCTTTGATAACATATGCTTCACAGACTAGACAGAAGGGTGGGGGGCGGTACGTGCAGTTTGTCACATTGCCCTCCAGAAGCCTACAGGCATGGAAGCAGCTGCAACCCAAGTTGCAAAATTCATCACTAAATGCCATTTAAATCGTGACTTTAGCGCATTTAATCATCAGAAGTTCATGTTTAGGTCGTAGCAATCTACATAGAAAACTTCAGGATGTTACTAGACAGAGTCCATGGTGTTGGTTACAGTCTAAGAATAGATAACCCTCTCTGGAAAACACCAGTGCAGCTGAAAGCTGAGAGATATATGCATAATTAATCAGTATTACCAATAGGTTTAACAAAAATATCACATTATGTCACATTTAGCAATATGGGGTTGGTGTGAGGAAATGACTGGTTGTGTAATGGGGATATGCACAAAGAGGCAGACATGGGTTCATGTGTTTACATAAAACACAAAGATGAGATAGTGGCTTGGTTTCAAAAGTAAAAAGGCTAAAGGGACTCTATTTTTTGCATCAACAGTACAATACCAGCAGGCAGAAGGTGCTGGAAATAGAAGAGTTTGTGGTGTTTAGGCTGCTAAACTTGATTTGACCCATTTTCACCAAAACACAGAATAATGACAAAACCCTGTTTAAAGATTTTCTTTTTCTGTATTTATGCATACTTTTTAATCCCTACCAGGCTTTTAGCTAGGAATGCAGAAGGACTTACATTGTATGGCCTTTACTAAAAAGAATAACAAATTGTATGCCCTGTTTTTCAACCCTGGAAACTTTGCTCAAATGTTTAAAATTTTACAAGCAGCAGATGCTGGAGTTGGAAAAAATAAATTTTTGTTGCTCAACACACCTCATCAACCAATCAGAGAAGCTGATCCTGGAACTGGCAAGGAGACAGACACAGCACTGCTGATGCAGAGAGCTATGATCACTCCACACAAACTATTTATTAATGCTTAAATTAACTGAAAATGTTGAAATCTGCAGGAAAAATATGTTCACTTTTTTTTTTGGTGCCTGCAATTTTTACCATATACCTGAAAATGGATAACATCTTGCAGTCGCCACAAACTGTAGGGGAAAATCCCCAAGAAGCAACTGCATCTGAGGCAGCTGCTGCTAGGGATTCCCAGTGACAGTGCACCACCGCAATGTGGGGTCTGTGCAGCTCAGACAGTGAAATATTTGAAGGCAGGATTATAATCTTTATAAACTAACTGCACAGATGATGTTTTCTTGGTGGACTTTCCTGCAAAGAAATGTATGAAAACTACTTTTTACCCACTGATCTTAGCAAATATAGCAAAGCCGTTCTCTGCCATTGAACACAGGAGCGACCGAAGCACCAGATGCATCTGTACACATTTTACTTGACATGCTTCAGCAACATTGTTGATGCATCTCTGTCCTTTTTAGTGTACAAGCATCATAAATGAAGCAGCAGGTTCTGTTTTGCTGCCAAATGGTGGCGTGAAAGTTGCATTACACTTTCAGATTTTTTGAATTAACCTATGAAACCTAATATTAAACATGACAATAATCACATTGCTTCCATCTGAAATTTCCACCTCTAGTCAAGCACACATACCTCCTATAATGTAACAAAGACAAGGTGTTAGCTGCATTCCTCCTCAAAGTACAGGAAATATTGTTTCAGAGATACGCCCTACCCCTGAACCCCTCTATGCCGCACAAAGCTGTGATACCAAGGAGTACACATATAAAATATTCCTAGCTAAAAGCTTGATCATGTATTGTACTGACTTTGATCAGAGAGCATTGCAAATCATAGATTAATCTGTGGATTCTTTTGCAGATTAATCACCTTGTAATTGGTCAGAATGGCATAATGTCCACCCCAGCTGTCTCCTGTGTGATCCGCAAGATAAAGGCAGTGGGTGGCATCATTCTCACAGCCAGCCACAACCCAGGGGGTCCAAGTGGAGACTTTGGCATCAAGTACAATATTTCCAGTGGAGGTGAGAGGAGATCTCAGGCCTGAGTCTGACATGCAAACAGAAGAATGCATTATTTTCTGCATTTTATCTCTTGTTAACCCCAGTATTTCTGTTAATCATTGTTTTCATACCACTTTTCTTTTTCCAGGACCTGCTCCTGAAGGCATTACAAATAAAATATTTGAGATCAGCAAAGGCCTACAGGAGTATCATATCTGCCCTGAGCTGAAAGTGGATCTGGCTAAGATTGGGAAGCAGACCTTCGAAGTGGACACTTTTAAGCCCTTCATAGGTTCAGCAATGATTTATTTTCATTAAACTCATTTAAAGCTCATCAGATCTTTATTTCTAACAAAAACTTTTGACGTTTAATTTCATGTTTTCATTTAATTTGAAATGTATTGGCTCAAGCCACTAGTGTTTATGTCTTGTGAGTTCTTCGACTTAAAATGTGGATATTTTCTCCTCAGTTGAGATTGTTGACTCGGTTGAAGCCTACGCTGAGATGCTGCGAGGCATCTTTGATTTTGCTGCACTGAAAGATCTTCTTTCTGGCCCCAACCACATTAACGTGCGCCTGGATGCTATGCATGGAGGTAAAAAAAAACATTGAGGAAATGACAGTTCGGCCTTGTATCAGGGTATTATTAATCAACACATTTCCTCCCTCTAGTGGTTGGCCCTTATATTAAGAAGATAGTTTGTGAAGAGCTGGGTTCTCCTGCCAACTCGGCTGTGAACTGCGTCCCCAAGGAGGACTTCGGCGGTCATCACCCTGACCCCAACTTGACCTACGCCGCTGACCTGGTTAACACCATGAAAAGTGGAGAATATGACTTTGGAGCCGCCTTTGATGGTGACGGTGTAAGTTCCAACACGGTGTGAGGGGTTTTATTGATGATGTCAGAGCTGATGACTTTATGAAACACTCTTCTGATGAGGTTGGAATTCCTTTGCATTTTCATAGACTGGATTAAGCAATTTGAAGAATGACTTTCATCCTGTTTTTTGTGCCTTTATTTTTTACACTTCATTCTTTGTTAAATACAACAAGCATATATAATACATTACAGGGTGATAAAGTAAAAAGAAATTAATTAGCAAAAAACAGTTATTTAGCAGTAAAATTGCATTCTTTTATTTCAATAAAATGTCATACCTGATGACAAATGGACCTCCTGACATCAGATTAACATAGAAATGTCCTTCAGGTGTGTCA